CTTTTGTAGAAATCTTAGCTCTGCTTTGCAAGGCCCTGGGGGGGGGGGGGGGGGGGGGGGGGGGGCAGGCAGTTCATCCACCTCCTCCTTCCCTCCCCCTCCCCCTCCCCCTAGAGCCAGCAACCAGGCGCTACCTTTGGATCAACATTGGTCTGACACAAAAAGGTACCAGTCAACGTATAATCTGCAACAGCTTTCTCAAAAGTATCTTGGATGCAAGATTAACAATCAAAATTCAAAACAAACGGCACAAAACTGTGTTTGCTTTTCCATTTTCATAATACCCTCACATCCAAGATACTTTTGAGAGGGATCTATCGCAAGTTTCAAGCAAAACAGGTTCTTACCAACATTGGTACCAAAAACTGGACCAGGACGTTTTTCGTGCCGGGCGGGGAAGGCAGTAAAATCTCGTTCACGGAGAGCGCCCGGTATGATGACATCCTCGATCTTCTGGAGAAACCATTCTTTGCTAATTCCGCCTGAGTAAAAAATACAAATTATGTTAGGAATGTTAGACAAGGTTTTGGGTTGCTATTATAACGTTCTTGTGGACTTTCGTTTAATCATGACTATTCTTGTCATCATCATCATCGTCATCATTATCATCACCATCATCTTCATCATCGCCATCATCACAATCATCATCAACATTATCATTATCACCACCACCATCAACATCATCATCATCTTCGTCATCATTATCATCACCATCATTATCATCATCATCACAGCCATTCTCGTTATTAACCCCAAGAACATTAGTGACAACATTTTAATTCTTTTTTTTCATTTTCCTATCATTACCATCATTACCATCCTTTATCATCAGTATCATCACCACTAACATTATCACCGTCATCTTAATTACATCTTCAACAACATCATCATCTTTATCATCCTGTACTACCACTACCACTACCATCATCATGTCATCATCATCATCATCAAAAATCATTTAATTTATAGATTGTAGATTATCAATAAAGTGCGAAGGTCACTAAACTCACCAGCATATGGCTTCAATATGGTAACACCAGTTGCTTCGTGATCTCCCTCAACAGGGGACCTCAAAACTGCAGTTGCAGGATCTTTTTCAGCCCGGGACAAAAACTCCCTGACGTCAGCATGACGCAGTAGTTCGGACCCAGAGCCATCCGAGTGAATGATAAAATAACGAGGCACCAAGGTTGTCTGAGGGACGGCTCGCTCAATATGAGTAGATTCAATTTTCTTTTCCGTGGTAGCACCATTATCGTCCTTTACCTCTTGTGGTTCTTTCTTATCAATAGACATTTTTCCATTCGAAGCGACACTAAAATGAGTTCCACGTATATCCTTCGTTTCACAACAGTTTTGCTGTGTGCTGCGCATGACATAAACGCCCGCTGGAATGTCTGTTGGTTGGTTCGTGGGCGCGGGTATTGATAAATCGATTTTGCCGGTTAGTTCGCGTGGAGCAAATGACACCACACCTGGAAAACACAAGAAATTAAAAACATATTATTATAGGGGTTAAGAACAAAAGGAGAAAGTTTCGCGGTGCTGATGAACAGTTTTTTGTGTCTTCTCAAGAGGGTCCAAAAAGGTAGTCCTTATCCCATTTACCAGTCCCCATTTCGACCAAATTCCATAGTGTCAGACACCACAGTGTCATCTTTTGCTCAAATCTCAATCCCATCCCCATTTTTGTTTGTTTCTCGCTTGTGAATCCCATTCCCAGTGCATAATAATTTTTTTTAAATACTGTAAACAATTTTACCAGCCCTAGCGACGACTGTGGTACAACAATCGTCGGAGGAAATAAGATGTTAGAATACCCGAAATTTTTAGACACCTTTAGTTTATTAAGAGGAAAATGTTTATATCATTGGCTAGAATCAACATTACATTTCGCCAATGGATACCCAAGGCATACCTGTAGCATCGATGTGAAGCTGTGATCCATCAACCCTCTCAACAGTCGTCACACCATTAGCCAATGTCTCCATATACACACCGTTACCAAACACAGTCCCGCACGATCCCTCGTGACAATTAAACGTCAAGGAAGCAAAACCAGGGCACTCGACTCGAACAAATTTTCCATTGATCGTTTTGTACAGGGCTTCTTCGCCCGTCTCGTTGTCGGGAACCTGGGTCTGAGTCTGTAGTTCTTGGTAGAATGTAGTGATTCGAGTTCCATCTGCGTGTTCTACGATCAGAGTTCCGTCAGGACGTTCAACGATTACTACGTTATCTTCGCGCGTGCGCAGAACCTGAAAATCAAATTATTCATAATTATTATCTTAAAGCCAGAGCCTGCGTTTCTGTTGGTCAGCACCTTTATTTTTTTCCTAGGTGCTTAAAATAAAGAATTTAGGCTGTAGAAATGACTAGCCTACGTTTCTAATGGTCAGCACCTTCCTTGGTACTGACGCGAATAACGTAGGATATTCGAGACGAGACCCGCAGACATATTAGTTATACAACGGTTTTGAGTGATATACCATGTAATATCCCATGAGGCACCTGTTTTTCTCGTATGACACGAGCCTTCAAGCAAATGTGTATGTGATAGTGATACTGAGTGAGATATTCCATGGTCCGAAAACACAATGGACTACTTCGACGATTCGGCGGCCATCTTGGATCGCAACGCATTATTGGGGGTCTAGGGAGGCAAACAAAGCTTTGTAACAGTAAGGACGTTGATTGATATTAACAGCTTATCACAAGAGAATACAGTAAATGATGAATAGACCGCCTTTCTCAAAAGTATCGTGGATCCGAGGCTGACATGAATATACGAATGAAACCACAATTTTTCTCGATGGAATTAGTGACATTTCTTTTGTATTTCCATGTTAGCCTCGCGTCCAAGACAATTTTAAGAAGGGTACATTGAGACGGCAAACGAAAGAAAACTATATATTTCCCATCATCTTCGTTTTGTCTTGCTCCCTGGTATGGTGGCCGCCGTATAGTCGAAGTAGCCATTATGACCTACTTTGAAAATCTGTAAAATCCCTAGGTTACGATAGATCAAGTAATAAATCATGATTATAAGGGAAGTAAGGTGTTGTATCCCTGCAATTTTCTTTTTTTCAATCTCAAGTATCAATCACGTGCTGATCACGTGTTATCATTACCTGTCTACCTGTTACCTGTTCGCGTTCTGATCACGTGTTATCATTACCTGTCCACCCATCATGTGCTGATCACGTGCTACTGATTACCTGTCCACAAATCACGTGTTGATCACGTGTTATAATTACCTGTCCACCAATCATGTGCTGATCACGTGTTATCATTACCTGTCCACTTTCCGGGCACGTGGCCAAGGAAAACAGCACCCCATCAAGTGACTCGACCTCTCCGTCTTCTTTAGTCCTGACCCTTGCCCCACCGATTCCCGTACTGACCCACTGTGCAACCTTCTCGGGTACATTCAAGGTAGGTACCGGGGGTTCCTCGCTGGACTTTTGAGAAGACGTTGCTCGTAGTCCCTTTTTAGTTGGCGATATTTCTGGTTGTTTAGGAACAATTGTGCTTGTTGGTTGGCTGGTCGGTCTGGATGACGTACTGGTCGTAGGGAATGATTGACAGCTGCTTATGCCTCCATCTGGGAAGAGGACTTGGACGAAGTCATCTTTCATGAACTGGTAAGAGAAAAATTAGGTTTGGAAAATGAGACAAGGTGATAAGAGAATACAAAATCATTCATGACCAGCATTACCAACATCTATCATCAATACTTCCACCATCTACCACCACCATGTATCACCACTACCATCATTATCATCGTCATCATTATTATCATCATCATTATTATCATCATCATCATCATCATCATCATCATCTTCATCAGCGGATTAAACATTTCCTCCCTTTTTTTCCTATTATTCGTGTCACATGCATTATCATCACCATTGTACTTATTACCATTATCACCACCATCACCACCACCACCACCACCACCATTACTATCACTATCACCACCATCACTATCACCACCACCATAACTATCAATGCAACCGTCTTCGTTGTCACTATTACCAACACCAACACCATCACAACCATCATCAGTGTAATTGCTTTAATCGTTACATACCTTAATGACAGTGCCATTGGTGAGAACAGTCCTAGATACTTCCTCCATAGCAGGTTTCTGCCTTGGCTTCTCACATTCCTGTTTCCCCAGGCCTTTAATAGGGTATCTCTGTCTCACAGCCACTCCTCCCTTGTCAAGAGCACTAAGATAGGTACCATCATTGAAATAATCCAGGTGGAGACCGTCAGGGCAAGTAATGAACAGATTCTGGAACGGTTTTTTGTTTTTCTCTTCTTCTTCGCGCTTCTTTGCTTCTTCCTCGAGTCGTGCTTTTTCTTCCTCTTGTTGCTGTTGAAGTTCTTCCATTCTAACAAATCAACAAAAAAGAAACAGTCGTAAATAATTTTATTGTGACTATCAATGGCTGGAAAAGATTCCCTTAACCAAAACCAACCGTGAATTTTATCGGAACCTGGGAAAAAAAAAACAACCCAGGACTGATGAAAGACAAGGCACGGCTAACTCTCAGATTGAACCCTGAAACAAGCTCTGGGTTGATCAAAGTCAGAACGTGGCCAACTCACAGATCGAACCCTGGAAAAGCTTCTGGACAGATAGAACCCTTAAACAACAACTGTACTGATGAAAGTCAGGATGTGGCTAACTAAGCTCACAGATCAAATTGGAATTAGTTTGTTAGAATTGAGGCGAGAGAAAAACCAGAGGTCCTGGAGAAAACCCTAAGAGACCAAACAAACTCCACCCACAGGATGCTGATGCCAGGAATTGAAACCAAGACCCCAGGGGCGAGTGCAGTACTACCATGCTACCCTCGATTAACATTATGTTGCTTCAGCAATCAAGGAGCGTCTGGCCAAACCGACAAACACAACTACGAGTTTACATATGTTTCTGAAATTACGTTAAGTTATACTTCGAAGTGTAAAGCAGGCCTTGTTGTCAAATATTCCTAACCTACCGTTTTATTTCTTCGTCCATCTTTTTCCTAGATTTCGGCGACCCAGCTTTAGGCTGAGGACTTGGGGTCCCATGTGCGGCACCTCCACCCTCAGGGACTACAATACTGGATATCAGTTGCGCCTCTGTTTCCTTGAGCTCCTTACTAATAATGGACCCAGAGGGACCATATCCACTATGGGTCAGAATCATACCATCATTGAACTGGGCAACAAAGGAGCTGAAGTCACAAAATGGTTTTGGTCCCTTGTGGAACTTTTTGGAAAGTTCTTTTTGTTCTTTTTCGTTTCCTTCGATTTCGCTTTTTTCTATTCCCTCGTCGTCGTGTTTTTCTTTGCTTTCTTGGTTATTTTCTTCCTTGATTTTAATTCCTTCGGGTTCGGTATCTTCCTGGGGCAATATTTCACCCACAGGGTCCACGAAATGCAGCACGAATACGTTCCCATCCTTGAGCACCGAGACCCTTACGTTTTTAGCCCCTTGAACGTACGAATTCTTATCCACCCGAATTTGGCCCCCGTCTGAAGGGAACAAAGTAGTGAGGGACCCAGACGCGTGGATCAATTTGTCCCCTACGTTGTAGCCAATGAAATCGTAGTGTTCCTCAACGGAAGGTTCTATTGGTTGAGAAGATGTGTCTTCTTCGGTGTCGTCTTGGCAACTAGTACGGGACTTGGATCGACCTCCTTTTTTGTCGTGTTTGCTGGAGGAGCTCTTGACGGATAAGGAACCTTTAGCCGAAGATGTGCGTCCTGATTTAGGTCGACTTGTTGACGAACCTTCTCTTTTTTTGTCTATGAGTTAAAATTAGAAAGCGTGCGTTAACAAATCTATTCTGAAGTTTCTAAAAAGGGAACAAATGTATAACAACACAGTGAGTCTAAAAAGGAAATATTTTCAATGATTATGGTCATCCATGACGATCATCACTATTTCCACAATCATCATCATCACCCTCGCCATCATCTTTATTATTATCACTATCATCATCATCACCCTCGTCATCATCTTTATTATTATCACTATCATCATCATCACCCTCGTCATCATCTTTATTATTATCACTATCATCATCATCACCCTCGTCATCAT